CGGCGGCGGCGGCGGGGTTCATTTCAGGACACCTAGAATGGTGTGTATTTTGCCTATTGGTTTAGCCCGTTCCGGAAAATATTCTCTTCTCATGACCACCTGGAAAAAATCGTGGTCCGGCTAGCGCACAAGTATTGAACTCTCGGGCAACAACGTAGTGGGCTTTCCGGAGCGAGCCCCTATCCTCAGGTCAATTCGTTTCATCATCCTGCTCAGTCATGGCGTGACAGAGATGCTCTCATAGACACGCAAGTAAGGAACAGCCAATCACGAAGGTCGGTGAGCCAGCCAGAGGTCCAGCCTACCCCCAAAGTGCCCATTAACATCCTCCTGTAGGTTATTCCAGACTCCTTCTTGTCTTTTGGGCGTCGGCCTGAAGTCGGTCGGCACTGGCAAATCAGTTTTGTTTGCAACTGCGCAGTCATTCGCGGTCTTCCATTGGAGTCCAAAGTAAGTCCGCCGTAGTATACATAACCTCCGTAAAGCATCTTTCAGCCTGTAAATGGTAATTTGTATTACCACCTTCTTTTCAGTCGCGGCAACGCTCTGCTTTTTCTTAAGCCGGGCTAGTTACTATGAATACTATAGACCTCGTCGGTGAGTAACTTTTTTTCTTAGTCTCCAATTAAAAACCCATCTGTAAAGAATAAATGACCAGCAGAGCAATCGTAGAACTCATCTGAGCTACAGGTTCAGCTCAGGAGCCCATCAGATGGGCCAATAAAGTAACCATAACTTCCATGAAGCTTCTGAGATTTCGTATCGGATATCGACAGCACGTGTCCTTGACTGGGAACGCGGACGGCTCTATCGGGCAGCGAAAGAACAGCGAGCGATGTTCAAAGGGGATCGACAAGTCGGTATTGGGGACTCCACCGTCTCACGCCGGGTTTTTTTACTGGGCTGTGTACCTTCAACGGGCCACAATTTGAACCAACCCGGGGAGTAGATGGGGGCAGGTCAGGCGGATGCCCACCTCTAACACACGGAGGGTGTAGTGACACGCCTAGATGCAGGCTCGCCGCGCCAGCCAATGTTTCTAAATCCGCATCAGATAACCCACCGATTCCAAGGATGGACTGGGGCCTGCGAAAGGGAAGAGAGTGAGGTCGATGCTGGGAACTTCGTCTGCTCGGTACTTTGAGTATATCCCTAAATATGCAAGACTTAACGTGCTTTTGATTTATCATGAAGAGCTAAAATCTGTGGCTTGAAAGACTGAAAGACAACTCGATCCTCTAAGGTCGGGAAGTCAGGCTGCAGTGGCTCCTTCTCAATGTGGCTTCCATCGCACTCTCAACACCAATGGGTTGGGGCCGCCGCTTTGTTGTTTCTGTGGAAACTCGGCCCATCGTAAGCAGGCTAGGCGTTTGTGGCACGGATAGATGGGTTGTTTATACATGTTATTCACTGTGTGCGAAAACACTCCCGGCATTCGTAACACTGTCTTGAAACCGGGAATAACTGGATGAGGGAGAGAAGAGTGTGGTAAGTGCTGCAAAAGTCTACTAGCACCACGAGGAGGTCGCCGCCCCATCGCGCTCCATGTTGTGGAGCACATGGTGGACATAATCGTCCGCGATGGCCAAACGTCCCTGCTAGTATAAATGTACTCGCGAGATCGAACCTGTGATCTTATTCCAGGGTGAGGACTGAGGCATGAAACAGTGGATCACATCACCGAAGCGCTGTTTTGTGAATGAGACACGACCGCTAAAACAAGAGCTTTATTAACCCGAAATTTCGGATTCGCAGTCAAATCCACCACCACCACCGCCGCCGCCGCCGCCGCCGCCGCCACCGCCGCCACCACCACCACCACCACCACCACCACCACCACCACCACCACCACCACCACCACCACCACCGACAGTTCGACCATCGATTTCGATGATGTCCACCGTGTGCCCCACAGACTGCATTGTGGGAGCAGGGACGGTGACTTACGCAGGGGTTTATAGTGCCAGGAGACTTGCGTAGCATCTACCTACACTCTCTCCTCCTCCCCCGCCTGAGTTCGGGGTCAAGACAGAGTCAAGAAGACCGGAGACGAGGGAGGCCGCAGGTGGATGGCTCGGACGGATCCTCGCCTTGGCGCTCCACTCCGCACCCCCTGGTCCACACAAAAATGACCAGGATTTCGACAACAAAACAATGGGGTGATGGCAGTGGTCCAGTTGTGCGGCGATCGCCGACAAGGGGGTCCGCCAGCGTACCCCGGGAATGTTGGCATTTGTTATTGCGCACAGATACCGCTTGCCAGAGTCCGATATGGCCCCCGTCTTGGGCCACCACATCTAACACGTGGCCCGTTTAGAGAGCACAACAACAACCACCACCACCACAGACAAAACCAGATGAGGATGGGGGTCGCGCAGGTGTTGCAGTATTTATAAGCTGTAATTCCTATGCCACTACATGTCTATCAAAATCGCCAGCTCCCGAATGCATCTGAGACAGTTAAATCTGGTGCGATAATTCGCTGACTGTCCTGGTATCGCGACAGGCAGTTGCTATGCGCCTGCATGTCTGTCAAAACTATCGGCCCTGGCATTAATCGCAGGCGATTGCACATGGCGTGATGATTTCCTAATGGCTCGCAGGAAAAGTGCTAACTACTGGAAATTCATAGTGCGTAGAAGTCCCTGGGGCATCTGCTTCTCCAGGACCAGTGATCATCCGAGCTCCTTTCGTGTGGTTAATTACTTTGCCTAGGCCAGATGAGCTCAAAAGATGGAGGCTACTGCTCTTGCTAACTGAATGAGGACTGGACAACCATGACTTAAGCAGCTCGCGATATATGTGGTTGTCTCTACGCGCGAAAATTTCAACTTCAGCAAACTTAAAGATGCAGCCGCATCCCGTCGAATGCGCTGCGACTTGATAGCTAGCGTCATCCCACCTCCCCCCTGCTGATGCTGCATGTTCGAACACTCGCGCTCAGAGCAATCACTCAGTTTCTCCGACATAGGTGCCTTCTCCGCAAATTCAACAGACCCGGCAAACGATTCCAGACGTTTCTTGCCGTGTCAGTAGGCCATTGGGCCTCCTTATCTGGCCTCTAATGGTTGCCTCCTTTTTTTGTGCAACCTCAAATCCAAGCTGTGGGAGAAGGCCACTGACGGCTTCGGAGACGTTTTTCACGCAAGGAAAAGTTTGCCAAAATGTGTAGGCGATTGGGTCTAGCCTCTCGTTTGCTCTGCATATGCATTTGTTGATGGAGTTGCGCGAGTAACCATTCGCTCTAAACACGCGTCGAAGATATTGTAATTCGGAAACCTTATCTTTCGATTCCCTGCAGTGCGCTTCCATATGGTGGTGGAGCGCCCTTACACAAGCGCTTTTGCGGCTGATTGGGCGATTGCCAATGTAGCTCCGTAATTGCGTCATATTTGTCGCTTTTCAAAATGTTTTGATCTTTAGGTCACCAAATCCTGATCCTGTTTGCTGACGCCGAAGGTTTCATCCCCATACTGAGCCCAGAATGTCGGTCTGTGATGTCGAAAGATTAGCGGCTCCAGCCGTGGCAGAACCACCGCGGCTATGGGATCCGAAATTGATAAACCAATTGGCATGTCTTTTATGTGTTCGTATATTGTTCCGTCGAAGGTGAGGTACATTTTGAGACAGAAGTTCAAAATTTGGAGGAGTTCGGCTTGTCTCAGTTTCATCGTATTTACTTCACTCGTTCAGTTTGACAGTCCCGGCGGCCAGATTCTGGGGAATGGAAGTAAAGAGGGATGTACCGCCAAAGGATACCATGCTCTCGTCTGGCAGGAAATTTAACCCCTTAAATTTCTCCAGGAATTGTGTTGACGAGCTGACCATACTGTCTGAATTAGCGGTCTGAAATTCGAGACACCGAAACAGCTTCTTCACCAGCTCGCAAGTTGGAGCATTTTTGAGTTATGCGATGAGCCGGAGGGAAGTACCCACTTTGTGTGCTTTTAGAAGGTTATAGAATCGGTCCAAGGTCATGTCTTGGACTCTCGCGTGTGTCAATTGGTCGGCAATATTGCACCTGAGTTCTCCAATGCAAACAACGTCGGACTAATTTCGTGTGTCGGCGTGTTTATATGATTGCTTGGGCAGGGGACATAGAACTGGCGGTCCTCTAGTAGACATCTGTTTTTCTAGAAGTAGTCTGCCCCGTCGAATGCAACCGTGGAACGCTCTTTGCCCTCGGGCACGATGACGAGGTCTTTGTCGGATTTGAGTTCCCCTAGTGCAACATGTACAACCTTGGGGAGCAATTCGTACGATTTGTGAGCCATGAGGAGAGACGACACCTGGTGTCGGATAAGACCCGTAGTCTCTTCCGTCGCTTCCGTCCGACTGAGGACTGATCTCCCCGCCTCATTCGTATTGGCAGGTTTGGGACCACCTATGGTGAATGAGGCTTTATGACGTTCCTTCGTCAGCTACTTTGATGGCAGGTTGTGCACCAATTTTTCGTTTTTGGGTGACGCTGAATTAGGCAGCTTTCTGAATTCGTTCGTTAGTGCTGCGTTGCGTATCGGTCTCTGTTCGCGGACTCGTTCAGACACCCTCGAAAGAGGAAGGTTTTACACCGATCTCGCCCATGAACTCAGAGCATTTGGTCTTCACGTGGTTAATCTTCCAACGGTACCTGCGGTGTCTCGCGTGGCAATCTTGAAGGAGCACTCGGAGAACTCTTTCGAGAGGTGATAACCCCGCGGGCCGTGAACTACCCGATTCATGGTTTTCCGGTCGCAGCTCATTCGGCGGGACCCGGCTACACCTTCAAATTTTCTGAAGTTTAAATTTTCGCGAGAAGAGACAACTACGTGTCATGCGAGCTGCTTAAGTCATGGTTCTCCAGTTCCATTTAATTAACAATCGCAGTAGCCTCCATATTTTGAGGTCAGACAGTCCAGGTAAAGTAGCTAACCACACGAAGAGCGTGCGGATGACCACTGGTCCTGGAGAGGCAGATGCCCCAGGCACCTCTACGGATTATGAAGTTCCAGTACTTAGAACTTTGGCTGTGGGCCATTAGGAAGTCATCACGTCATGTGTAATCACCTGCGATTAATGCCAGGGCCGATAGTTTTGACAGACATACAGGCGCATAACAACTGCCTGTCGCGATACCAGGGCAGTCAGTGAATTATCGTACCAGGTGCAACTGTCTGTGATGCATTTGGGAGCTGGCGATTTTGATAGGCATGTAATGGCATAGGAACCACATCTTATAAATGCTGTAACACCTTCGCGACCCCCTACCCTAATTTGGTCTTGTCTGTGATGGTGGATTCGAGTGCGCATCAAGAACGTCAGGTTAGTAAAGCTCTTTTTTCAATGATCGTGTCTCCGCCTTCGCGACTGCTTCCTGGAACTCCCCCTTTCGTCACTATCTGAGTTCTTCTGTTTTAGCCTGTACATGAGTCGAGTTCTCGTGTGATCTTGCCTGTATGCCGATAGGGACAGTTTTTGCATGCAACTTGGTGAGTTTCACCAACCTGTTGCCCTGAGTCAGGTCGATTCGCCGTCCGAATAACCTCCTTGCACAAGGTAACACCCGCTCGATGACCATACCTCTGTCAAATTCTGCGTAAGTCCTCTCTATCAGGGCTGGCAGCCCAATCGTAGAAGGATGGCCTTGATGACGACCAATAACTTAATAACGGAGGTTCGAATCCTGGGTTATCCAAACCTGGGTTTGGGTATGGCTGGCTGACGACCGCTAATAAGCCGGAAACAGTCATCTTAGTCTCCATTGGGTCATGACTCTTCGCTGCGTGGGTGTCTGTGAGGGCTCTGGGCTGAAACCCAAAGCACAAAGTAATGCGAACGCTGCGTAGCCTGATCAGTGGACGTCCTTCCACGGTAAACTCATTTCTTACACACGACAGGATCTGACAAATCATTAATGGCTCCCTCATATACCCCCCTCCCATCCCTGACAGTACGTACGGAGACAGCAGTTATTGGAGTTTCATGCGTAACCGTTTCTGTCTCGTTGGTCCCTGAGCAAGTAGAAGCCCTTCACTCGCTCCTACGCATTGTTACAGCGCGTTTCACCACTCGGAAGGGGGGGCTTTTAAATCAACTGAGCTTGTGTATCTCCAGGTGGTTGCTGTGAGAGGTGTGGGTCCTGGCGAAGCAGATGCCCCAGGCACCTCTACGGGTTATGAATTTCCAGTGCTTAGTACTTTAACTGTGGGCCATTAGGGAATCACCACACCACATGCAATCCCCTGCGACTAATGCGAGAGCCGACAATTTTGACAGGCATGCAGGCGTATAGCAAATGCATGTCGCAAAGCCAGGTGCAACTGTCTGCGATGCATTCGGATGCTGGCGATTTCGATAGGTATGCAGTGGCATAGGAACTAAATACTGCAACACCCGCGCAATCCCCTACCCTTATTTGGTTTTGTCTGTGATGGTGGACTCGAGTGCGAATCCGAAACTTCAGTCCAATAAAGCTCTTGTTTCCGTGATCGTAGCTCCGCCTTCGCGACTGCTTCCTGGAACTCCCTTCTTCGTCACTCTCTGCGCTCTTTTATTTTCGCGTGCACGTGAAACGAGTCCACCTACGATCTTGCCTTTATGCCGATAGATACAGTTGTGGCGTGAAATTTGGTGAGCTTCAACAACCTGTTGCTCGATCACCACACCCTGTCAAATTCTTCGTCAGTTCGCTCTATCAGGGTTAGCAGCCCAATCTTACAAGGATGGCCTTGACAGCGACCAATAACTTACTAATGGGAGTTCCAATCCCGGGTTATCCAAGCCTTGGACTGGGTATGGCTGGCTGACGACCGCTAAAAAGCCGGAAACAGTCACCTTAGTCTCCACTGGGTCATCACTTTTCGCTGCGTCGGTGTCTGTGAGGGCTCTGGATTGAAATCCAAAGGAACGAGCACGTTCTGCAACTGTATCAGTGAACGTCCTTCCACTGTATACTGATTTCTTGCACACGACAGGATCTAACAGATCATCGATAGGTCCCCCACATATCCCCCTCCCCTACCCTGTCGGTGCGTACGGAGGCAGCAGTTACTTCGGTGTTGTGCGTAACCGTTTCTGTGTCTCTCAGCCAGTAGAATCCCTTCGCTTGCTCCGATGCATTGTTACAGCGCGTTTCACCACTCGGCAGGGGGAGGGGGGCTTTGAAGTCAGCTGAGCTTGTGCATCACCAGGTGGCTGCTGTGAGAGCTGTGGGTCTGGGTGCTTCTAGCAGCCCTTTGGCATGTTGTTGCACGAGCATTAGCTGCACAGTTTAGTCAGCCAGTGATTTGAGTCATGTTCCCGAGGCCATGATACAAAA